TAGGAGGAGGAGGAGGAGGAGGAGGAAGCCATTGGCCGAGGAGGGGCTGGGCCGTCGTCGCCTCGTCGGTCGCCCCAGTCGGCCTGGGCTCGCGCGCAGCGCGCCATAGGCGCCGCAGCCGCGGCGGCAGGAGCCGCCATTCCCATTCCCACCACGCCCATGTCAAAAGAGGCATCCTGGCACCGCCGCGCCAGGTCTCTGCGCGGCCAGGACAGGCTGCTCATCAGGCTGGCGGCAGCCGCCAACAGGCCGGAGCAGCACCACAGCGCGCAGCAGCTCCAGCGCCACCAGCAGCACACCATGACGCAGAGCTGGAAGCAGCAGCAGCGCGGCGCCTCGAGGGAAAGGTGGTCAGGAGCAGGGACCACACACCTCGAGGCGCCGCAGCGCGGCGCTGGGAAAAGGTGGACAGGAGCAGGGTCCACAACCCAGGCGCCCGCGCGGGGCCCAGGGGAAAGGTGGTCAGGAGCAGGGACCACACACCCTGGGCCCGCAGTGGGCGAGCAGCCATGGCCTTGGAGAAGCTCAAAGTACCCCAGCAAGCGGTCCTGGAGCCGTCCCGCCTCGAGGACGAAGGCCGCCGTCCACATCCAGGACTACATTCTCAGCAAAAAGCAGCAGGCCATCGCCGACGCAGTGCTGGAGCTGCCCTTCACCATTTCTCGCGACCATGAATCCTTCGGCCTCCCGTCAGAGGATCCAGACATGAGGAAGCTTTGGACGAGAAGCCTGCAACAGAGGCTTGGCCGAGTTGCTGACCAGATCAGCGGCGCTCAGTCCGCCAAGGTTGACGGCAGCAAGTTGCTCACAGAAGCCGCGGTCATCAAATGCATGCTCGCGAGGGCCACTGATCCACGAGTACGGCTACAACAATATCGGTCTCAGATTGAGGTGCTGGCAAAGGAGCAGAAAGATATCTATGAGAAGAAAGAAGCCCTGCAGACTAAGGCGGACGCCAACACCCAGCGCATCTCCGACCTGCGCCGCCTCATCACAGACGTCAAGCTGGAGATCGCAGCCGAAGCCGACACCGATTGCGAGGCCGACTCGGAGGACGACAGGAAGAAGCAAAGAAACAAAAGGGCCAGCACCCCATTTCGACGTCGCGCCAGCAAAGAGCCTCCATCCTCATGCTCGAGCAGGCCGGCCTCCCCATCAAGCACCATCGCGGAACAGCTCAGGAGGAAAGACGAGGAAGCACGCCGAGAAGGAAAGAACCTAGCCAGCATCGCCAACGCCGAGCTCCGAAAGAAGTCAGAAGAATATGAGGAGGAGGTGGAGGCCATGCGGCAGTGCTTTGCCGAACTGAAGATGCAGAACAGAGACAGGCTCGTGCATCACGAGCAGGAGCTATCCAAGACGGCCACGCACGCTACCGAACAAGCACTCCGCCGACGAGAAGCTCAGCAAGAGCGTGTATCCCAACATCGAGAAGAGCTTTTCCACCAGTTCTACGCTGAGAAGATGCAGCAGGAAGCGCAGAGGATCGAGAACCACGAGCGCGCGCTGCGACACGACCTCGAGCGTCAGAAGCTTACCTACGAGCAGCAGCGCCAGGAGGCTTACCACATGCTGGACGCCATTCGAGCGGAGACTGCCTCCAAGGCGCGCACTGCACCAACCTCTGAGGTCGCAGCCCGCCAGCAGGAGATGAGCGAACAACTTCATCGCCAGCACGAACGACTGCAGCGTGAGGGCCAGAGGATCGAGCAGAAGAACCAGGACCTCCGTCTCGAGGAGCAGGCCGTGCAAGTCATGGCAGCCCAGGAGATGCAAAGAAAGAACGACATAGCTGAGCAGATCGCTGAGGCCAAATCAGACCTCAAGCGAGAGGAGATCAAACAGGAGCACGTGATCCAGCAGCAGACCGCCATCGCAGCCAACAAGCTCCTGGAGGAACATTACACAGTCCAGAGGTAGCGAGAGGTGGTCTATCAGCAAGCGGAGCTCCAACTCGAGGCGCAGCGACACATCCAGAACAAGTGCGACCAGCTCGAAGCCAAAGAAGCGGAGCACCTACGGGCCACCCAGCAGTACCAGCTCTTCTTCAACGAGGCCCAGGCTCTCCAGCAGCAGATGCACCACAGGACCAACTACGACCAACATCAACGTGAGCAGTTCCTGGAGAAATACGGCCAATACGAGGCAGAGATACACCAGCAGCAGCAGCTCGCCAACTCCGAGCTACAAGCCGTACAGGCACAAAGACAATCACAGGAAAAACATCATCGTGAACAGCTGGCCCGACAACAGGAAGAGCATCGAGTACACCAGGCACTTCTCGAGAAGACCCTGAGGGAGCAGCTCGACAGCATCGCACCCAGGATCGATACTGACATGCTCGACGGCGTCGCCGGTGCGCTCACCACGGAAAACGAGGAGCAGAAGATGCAAGCCCAAGCCGACGACGAGGAGGCCTACCAGCGGGACAACATTCGCTCCGCCCTCCACGCCATCGCTCCGTCGCACGAGTTCGACTACGACGTGACCCGCGAATCGTACTACGCCGAGCTAATCCAGATGGAGACCCCGAACGCTGCAGGGCATCGCGGCGCTCCCTCATCTTCAGGATCTTCGAATGGCTTAACGCCGCCCTTCTACTGCAGCCTCTGCAAGTCGCGCGGCAACTACACCAGCGCCAAGACGGAGATCATCAGGTGCAGGCACTGTGGGAGCGAGAACATCGAGGATCGCTCCGTCGACCTCGGCGACAACTGCACGCGTCCAGCGACTCCAAAGCCCCACCAGGCCACCGACCTGCACAACAACCAGCAGACACAAGCACCAACACACCGCCCATCACCACTCCCACCACCAGGGACGACACCGCAACCACTCGGCCCACTCATCGACCTCGTATCCCCATCGGGAGTTGCTCCGACGCCAGTTGCGGGAGACGGAACGCCCCAGAAGAACCCGAAGACTCACGAAGGATTCTCGGCCGAGGCATCCACACTACATCCCATACGACACGCCGAGAACCAGAGCTTCGACGACCCCGACGACCACGACCTAGGCGACTCAACACACACTCCGACAGTCCGAGCATCGCCGACCCCCCCCCCCCCGACGAGCAACCGACACCAATCGCCTCCTGGGGAGCAGGCCCCTTCCTGCCCCCCCCCGACACCCATGGCCGCCCCCCTACAGAGGGCACAGCCTTTGCCGCTCCCCGACGATCCCACTTCCCCACGACATGCCCGACCGTCCCACGCACAGACCACCCAACTGGGGAACCCTGACTCCCCCCCACGATCCCCCATTACGCTCGAAGTCGGCTACCCCTTCGCACCCACCCAACCATATTCCCCGAAGCCACTTCCAGCACGATTCCACATCGCCACTCCCGACCGTGCCAGATCGGCACCACCATCGGCACTCCGAAGGGCAAGCACTCACAGCAGGCCCGCGCGCAAGATACGGATCCTGGACGACGGCGACGGATTCGACAACTCAATGGACCGCAGGCGCTTTAACCCCGAGAGTCAAGAGGGCAGCTCGGGTTCAAGCTCTGACACGACAAAAAACTGAGCAGGACTTCCCCCGCTGGGGGGCAACTGGACCACCGGGGGAGTCCCACCACAACCCTACCAGAAGACCGAGCACCTAGCCCGCTCCGAGTGGCTATACGTAACTACCAGCTCGACGGAGCAACCACTGAGCCCCAGCAGATGTGCTGTGCGACCCATGCGGTGCCAGACACTCAGCGACAGGCCCAGTCGCCTCTACAGCCACAGGCCCCACTCGGGAGGCCGCCGACCGCTTCAGCGGTGTTAGCTTATGGGTTAGCACACCGCCTGACGCCAACGGCCGCGCAACCTAGTACTCCACAACCAGCGACTGCGACACAAAAAAGCAAAACCAATTTAAAGATTAGTTTCAACACCATTTGCGAGTGGGTAATATACTCAGCCGCCGCGCCTTGGGACCAGCACTACGACCATGGCAGCGCGCAGGCACTAGCAACCACGACTGCACCAACCGTCGGACCGAGGACCATCCCCTCGGCCGACAACCGCAGTGCACCAACCACCCCACCCAGGCGGCCAGCGAGGCCAGACGGGGCTAGCCCCCATCGACCCGACCGACCCGCTCCCTAGAGACGCACCCAGCAGAAGACAAACCTGGCGACAAGCCACTTTGGCCCAAAGGCGCCGCATCAACTTTCTCACGAAGTGCCCAACGAAGAGCCCCACCAAGAGGCCAACCGACGTCAGCAGCAGCAAGGACTGCAACTGCCGCAGCAGCAAGGACTGCAACAAGCTGAGGAGCAGCACCAAGACTTACTCCACAGGCCACCACCGGCTGGACCTCGGAGACTCCCAGAGGCCGGCCTCTCTGCATCGCCATACTCCCCCCCTAGAGAGAACCACAGGACCTCCAACGGTCCACCAGAGGCCAACCCAGACAACGCCACGGGACCAACAGCTGCGCCACTGCAGATGCCCTGGATGCGAAGCCAAGCGGCGCAGACGCCCAGAGGAGCCGACGCAGCACCAACCATCCCTGAGGCAGCCAATTGCATAGATCCACGAGAGATCTACGACATCGAAGCCACATACTTAGACGCCAAGCATACCAATAGGGGACGCGCCATGCAACCCTTCCGTTCTCGTACCACTGCTATCCCCCTCCCCCCAACATCGACGCGACTGTTTATTTTTTTTGTTTTTATTTTACATCGACGCGACTGTTCGACGCCCAAGCACAGACACACACTGCTGGCCATAACATACACCGAGCAAGAGGGAAGGCCACTCAACCACTCAGAGCCGCAAACTTCAAGCCCCCAGCACCGCCTAACCAGCCAACGACATCACCCGACATGCCACCCCCGATGCCAGAGCAGCGCAGCGTGCAATTCGACGAGCGACCAACCATCCGACAAACGATACAGTAATCACCATCTCCCCACATCACTTTTGACCTTTGCGACGAGTCCCTCAACGAGACAGCCGACTACATGCTCCGTCACCACCCACGACGACCACTCCAGGAAGGAGCAAAGATCCATCTCTACACGGACGGCTCCAAACACCCGAAGAAGCCGAGCGACGACGCCTGGTCCGTTGTGATCGTCGGTGACGACAACCACGGTTTCAGCTTCCAGGGGGCCATCATAGGGAAGCACAAGAGTGGCACCGACATCGCCCTCAAGGACAATGTCGAGCACGAGACCACCTCCACGACCGTCGAGATCACAGCCCTGATATGGGCCTTCGCCTGGGTGATACACTACAACCCCCTCTATATCACCACGATATCCACGGACTCGCTCGGCGCTCTGCAGCTCGCGAAGAGGCTAGCCTTCACCGACCACGACCCCAAGCTCGTCAGGACACTCTGCATTCTCTACGACATGGTCAGCAACAAGATCGACCTGCAGCACGTCCACGCCCACGACTACAACCCGTGGAACGAGGTTGCCGACGCCGCCGCCAACCACGGACGCCTGCAAGAAGTTATACCTCCTCAGCCAGAATGGGCAAGCGTCATGGATGGCGCATCCCAGCGGGACTGGGAGTTCCTGATCGACGCGGGTCCCAACACAAAGGAGGCATACCCCGTATTCGGCCACGGCAATCTCACAGCTAACAGGGTCGAGACGACCGCCGAGGCCCGACACTTTCACAACCCCTCCAGGCCCAGCGACAAGAAGATTCTTGTAGAAATAAACATCGCCACCTTCAACATCCAGTCGGGGAGAGAGCCAAAGGAAGGATCGAAGCGTCGAAAAGAGAAGATCAACAAGCTTAAGACCACGATGGCCTGCCTGTACGACGAGGACCTCCATATCATTGGTATCCAGGAGGCAAGGACACCCTGGGGCGTCCGCGAAGCTGGACAAGACGACGACGCCAGATGCGCCAACGCCAACTGCTACCACATCATTTCCGGCGGCCACAAAGGGTTCAACTACGGCTGCGAGCTCCATGTTCTACTTGGCAAACCATACGGCAAGAGCGGCAAAAAGGAGCTCTTCTTCAAACCTGACCAGTTCACAGTCATCGTCAAGGACCCCAGGCTCCTTATCGTTCGCGTTGCCGCCCCTGGCTTCGACCACGTGCTTGCCGTCGCTCGCGCCCCGCACTCGAAGGCCCTCGCGACCGAGAAGGATAGCTACTGGAAGAAGCTCGCGGAGAACATCGAAAAGCACCAAGTCAGCATCATCTTCTTCGACGCAAATGCCAGGACAGGCAACATCACCAGCGCGGCCATCGGCGACAAGGGCTTCAAGCAAAACGAGGACCCAAACGGACACCGTCTACATGAGCTGCTCCTGACCAACCACCTGGCGGCCGCCAACACCTTCGTCAGCCATGGACCAGGGCATCATACCTGGCACTCGGGCAAGGACCCTCATCGCATCGACTACGCCATCATCCCCAAGGGCTACATCGACTCCATCGAGGAATGCGCCGTGCTCTACGGCATAGACAGCGGCCAAGACCCAGAGACCAAGGACGACCACTACCCAGTCAAGCTGCAGCTTGCCTACCAGATCATCTCGTCCGTCACCAAAGGAATCCCGAAGTTAGACGAGAGCAAGCTAGCCGACGAAGGGTGCCGCAAAGAGTTCTGCCAAAAACTCGACGAGGTCAAACACCCGCCCTGGGACACCAACCTCAACGAGCACCTCACTATAGTCACTGACAAGATCACGGAGGCCGCGCACGAGTGCTTCCGCTCTAACAGCCGCGTCCCACACCAGCCCTACCTCACCAGGCGGCCCTTTGCTCTCCTGCGAGTTCGCCGCTCGAAACTGAAGACGACACGGACCGCCAAGAAAAACGGGATCGCCAGCCACTTCGGTGACAAGAGGCTACGCTACACGGCAAAGATCATCGCGAGGGAAGCCCTCCTGCCCGACCCCGCAGATGCGAGCGCCCTGGCCGATCTCAGCGACTACGTCAAACTTGTGGTGGCCCTTATCATACTCAGCACTCCCAGCCTAGCTTCCCACGTCGTGGAACCCGACGATGCCAACATCGCGCACCACGCCCAGCACTACTTTGACGCCCTTCTCCAATTCCTCAGGACGTCTAAGTCGATCCTGCACAAGTGGATCACGACAGACCGCGTCGACTTCCTTGAGAGAACCGCCGACGAGATGGGTGCAGCGATCGACGACCACGCCCCCCGTTTAGAGGCCCTGTACGCGAAGCGACTACTGGCCTTCGAAGGACGAAAGTCAAAGAAGCCGCCGACGCCGATCATCCGCACCAACGACGACGGGGAGCCCCCCACGAAGAAGAGCGAGATCGCCGACCACGCCCTAACCTGCTACGGCAAAGTTGAGCAAGCTATTGCCACGGATGCAGACGGAGTAGCAGCCGACTACAACAAGAGGACACGCCACGCAGGACCACGACCTAAGATGCAACACATAATACCCAAGCACCAGCTGACCAGCCAGCTCGCCGCCGCCAAACGAGGCCGCCGAGGAGGCCCTGACTAGCTCACCGACGACATGTCCAGAGCCAGCCCTGAAGGGATGGCTCGCCTGCTCCACCCTGTCCTAGTCAAGACCCACTTCGAGAGCACCGAGCCTATCGCCGCCAAGGGCGGGTACTTCACGTATTTCCACAAGGGACAGGGGGCCATGGAGCTCCAGAAATCAGACCGCGGCATCCTGCTCAACAACACCATCGGCAAGATGCACAGCACCTTCCTCCGCACCCGCGTGAAGGGCCTGCTACCTGAGCTACTAGAAGCAACCCAGTGCGGCACCCGTCCCAAGATGGCCACGGATTTCATCACTCACACCAGCCTCGCCCTCATCAGCGACTGCCAGAGGAGATCAAGGTCATGCAGCATCACCTTCCTGGACCTCAGGGAGGCTTTCCACTCCGTCATCAGGGAATTCTGCATGCAATTGCCGACCACCGCTGACGAGCTCAACGAGCTCATCGAACGGATCGACATTCCCGACTTCATCAGACCAGCTCTAAAGGAACGACTCCAGCAGCCAGCCTACAACAAACAGCACATCGACGACGAGCACCTCTGCCACATGATTGCAGATCACCACACCTCCAACTGGATGACAGCCAAGAACGCAAGGCACTACCAGCTGCCTCGGACCAGCACCCGACCTGGAGTGCCATACTCGGACGTCGCCTTCAACATACACTTCGCCATCATGCTGAGGGCGACCAGGCAGTTCGAGAGGAAGAGGCCCACGGCCAGCAGACAGGCGGACACGAGATAGAGGCCTGCAGTGAGCCTCTCTTTTCACCAACCTCTCACGAAGGAAGCGCGCTCAGAAACATGTCCTTCGTCGACGACCTCACCGACTACAACTCGACTGCCAACGCCAGCGAACTGATCAACACAACAGCTCTGGCAGCCGCCAGGCTCTGCACAGCAGCATTCCAGCATGGCCTGAAGCCACACCCAGAAAAGACCAAAGCCATCCTCATGCACTACGGCGCGGGGGCCAAGAAGGAGAAACAACGGATAGCCAAGGAGGGCATCACATACCTAGAATTGGACGGACTTGCTATCAAGGTGCAGCTGGCAACGCAACAGGAAGCCCTCGGAGCCATCATCTCGGCGGGCGGGGTCATGGGACCAGAGATCTGCCTAAGGGTCAACCGTGCGCTTGGTGCAGCCCGGCCCCTAGAGAAGCAGATCCTCCGCCGCAAGAAGCTCTCGAAGAAAGCCAAGGTCAAGCACGCCCACTCTTCTTCGACATCCTCGCTTACCTACAACCACCATGTCTGGAGCGACCTGACCATGAAGGACCTGAAGCAGATATCCGCCAAGTACATGGGCCCATACCGAGTCGCAGCTTCACTACCCAAGACCAACTCGCCCGACCAGCACATCTCCGAGGCCGAGGCAATCGCCAAGACAGAAGTACCCGACCTCATCACCCACCAGTCGATCGCGCGGCTACGCTACTTGCCAAGACTCCTGAGTAGTGCTCCAGCAGTCCTACTTCAGCTACTCGACGGCCAGCGCCAACAAAAGGGCACATGGAGCCGCCAGCTCAAGAAAGACTTCGACTTCCTACGTACGTACTTACCAAAAGAGAAGTGGCCCAGCCAAACCCAGCACGACCGCGACATCATCAACTGGGCCCGACAGAAGCCGAAGCTATTCACCAACGCGGTCAAGGCAGCTTCGAAGGCATACATTCTCCACACTCGCGACCAAGCTCAAGGCGCCAAGCTCCAGAAGGACATCTTGATGACCTCGGCAGATCACACAACTGAAGTGCTGGACCTCTGCGACGACACCAACAACCAGAAGTACGTCTGCTACGCCTGCGGCCGAGTCGCCTCCAGGCAATGCATGCTAATCCATATGGGCAGGGACCATCCAGACCACGAAGACCCGCGCTCTTGGGCGACAGGTACCGCGTGCCGATGCTGCCAGACCGAGCACCACTCTCTTCCGAGGCTCATCAAGCACTTATCGGTGGCTCACCGCTGCCACAAATCCTGGCATGCCTGGCGCACCCAGACGATGGAGCCTCTGACGGAGCAGCAAATAGCAAAAAAAAAAAAAAGCCATCGCCGAGGCCACAAACGCCAATAAGAAGCAAGGACGACACCCCACCTTCAGCGACAAGCCAGCCTACCCGTGCGACGTCACGCCGCTGCCTCTCCTCGAGACGTCGCCCGTCCTACCCAAAGTATTCGCCAGACTCGAGCCATCACCAAGCAGACCACCCGCGAGCTCGCCTGCAGAACCAGCCAAGCGCCAAGAGACCGTCTTCATCACCGACCGCCCACGACAGGCTGCCGACCTCCAACAGATCATGGCCAGCAACGGGATCACGAGCATCAGCGGACTGGACTACACGCAGATCGCAATCCCCAGCGATGGCCAGATCTCAGAACTTCCGACAGTACTTCGGCGAGCACAACGCAGGATCCTACATGGCGAGGTAGCGGCCATCTACGTCGAGTTCCCACGACGAACCTGGTACCTACACGATGCAACCGACGTTCTAGGCAGCAGAGCAAGCAAGCGGCGCACCCCAGAGGCACCCTGGGGAACGCCTCAAGTCTCCGAGACCATCGCCGACGAGATATTCGCCGTCAACAACGTCACACGAGAGGTATTGCGTACGATCTTCATGGCGACTACTACCAAAGTACCATTCGTAGCAGCCATCTCGGCCGAGTCGATCATCAGAAAGACCCCAGCATATCGGTACATCGCCAACCTGACGACCGTCTACGAGACCCCGACGAACCACTACGACCTCGGCGCCATACAGATCCTCGACAACGGCACCCGCGACGACCTCCGCAACATAATGCATACGGCAAACGAAGAGGAGATCGACTTCACCATCGCCGACTCGCTCGACGGCAACATTGTGGCTAGATGGGGCCTCAGAACCGCAACCGCTGCGCCCACCAGCCAGAACCTGACCACCAACGACGCCTACTACATAGAACGAGAAGACGAAGTGCCGCCCCATGCCGAAGACGAACGCCACGAAGAGTGTCACCTACGACAAGTTCAAAGGCGCCAGGACGGAAGTCCTGAGGAAGCCCCGAGTGCGTGGGAACACCTCAGGCAGCGTCGCCAAGTTTTGCAAGAGGCGTTGGGACGCAAGTCCTGGGGAAGCCCCGAACGCGAGGGAACACCCCAGGCACAAGTCGCCACGTTTTGTAGTATTGCTGAAGGCAGCGGCAGCTCGTGCAAGAGGTCATCGGGTACTTGCGAGCTGCATCACGCACCTACTCCACTCTTGCCAAGCACCACCGACCAGAGGTACGACCTACCACACCACGCCACAAGTCAACGCTGCCATGGTGAGGCAAGGATCAAACTTCGAGACGGGCTCGAAGGGTGGGGGGGGCAGGACGAGCACTGCCCGCGCCTACCAGGGGGGATGGTGAGGGGCAGGGGGGGGGGGTAGGACGGCCACTACCCGCGCCCCCGCGGTCCGCCCTAGCTCGCCACCCCCACCATCCCCATGGCGAAGGAGGAGCTTACCCGATCGCCCAAGCGGCGAAGCAGAAGGCAGCCGAGACATTCCCCACCGACGACAGCAGCAAGCACCAGGCCTGGGGTTCGCCCCCACCGAGGGCACCGTGACCCCTAGCCATAGCGGGACGAGGTGGGGCCGCCACGAACCCCACTTGAAGTCGGTGCATGGAGGCCTTTCAAATGCGCCCATAACCCATACCACAACCCCAGCAACAATCCGACTCCCCCACGTCCGACCCATAGACCTTCAAGACGACCATCCTCAACCCTTGGGACTCACCACCGACCGGCCACCCACCCCGCAACCACCATCCATCCAACAACCATCGCCACCTCGATACAACCTGCCCGCTGAAAGGAGGACAGGAGAAGGGTCCTCAGCAGCGCGGCACGACGCAAACATGACAGAGCCCGCTGAAAGGAGGACAGGAGCAGGGTCCTCAACAGCGAGGCTCGACGAGCATGCCCTGGAGACGTCGAAAAGGAGGACAGGAGCAGGGTCCTCAGAACAGACCGCTAGCAGGCACGCCCGCAGAAAGGAGGACAGGAGCAGGGTCCTCAGCTGTGAGGCAGAACAAAGACAAACAACCCTTGAACCTCCAACCCACCAACAACAACCATCACCTCGGCTTGACCAGCCCGCTGAAAGGAGGACAGGAGCAGGGTCTTCAATTTCAGCTGAAAGGAAGACAGGAGCAGGGTCTTCAACAGCTCTGAAGATAATGAACGCATGGAGGCCGCCCATAAGGAGGACAGGAGCCGGGTCCTCAGAAGCGGCGTTCAGCACGCACGACATCATAGAGGAGTTCTCGCCAAGAGAAGGAGGCGGCGCACCGTGCGCCGCGGCGAGGCCGTCCCCAGCCCACGGGCCGAAGGGGGGCACGGCCCGCCCCCCGTGTAACATACGGGGGCCGCCAGCTCAGCCGAGCTGCCACGCGGCAAGAGAAGGTCGGGCGCCCCTCAGCTCGCGAGCAAAGGAGGCGCGCCCGTCGCAAAGAAGTTCGGGAAGGACGAGTTCGGGGCCCACCTGAGGCCGTCGGACTGACGGGCTACGCCGCGCCCCCCGTCGGCGCGGCACAGAGCCCTCACTGAAAGGGTTCGCTGAAAGGACGAGGAGGAGGAGGACGAGAAGGAGGAGGAGGAGGAGG